CCCCAAAACCCCAAAACCCCAATCTCCTAAATTTAAAGAAAATTATCAAAGTTTAATTTGTTATTAAATTAAGATTTTTAGTTCATTTCTTAATATCAATTCCTCAATGCTTCTTACTCTTCTTCTTTTTGTTTCTGGCTCTGTCTCCATCAGATCTTGACCTGCTTCTTCTTCTCCCTTAGCCATGATCTCTATCAAAGTGATTGCCAGATGCCCCATTGGGATTTATCATACCAGCATTATGATCCATCATTATTTAACCAGGGTAATTTGCGCCTTAAAATTAGTATCTTCCCATCATTTAAGCCTGCGTCATATTCTACTGCATAAGCTACATCATTTACATCTAATAGAACCTTGCTTAAGTTTATAAATCATTAATGTTCTGAGTATTACTAGCACCCCCTATTTTAGGCAATTCATTTGGGTCAGTTACGGGAACTCTTCGACCTAAAGCTGGGTCAAACTTAGTGCCTGAGTGAAGTTAGGGATTGAATTTAAGAGGGTTTGCTGGATCAACAGCACCCTTTAACATAATTTGATTATTTAAATCCTGATTAGAGTTAAGGTCGATGTCACCTTCTTTTACTTGCAGGTGCTAATCCTAAGAACCCTCACCTTGAGACGATTACGAGTCAGAATCATAGTGCTAATTCTATAAATCTTATTGCTGCTAGAGAAGCATCCTCTGCTATTATTGCATCTAATCATGGCTCTGAAAAGTTTACTCAATTTTACTAATCATGTAAATCATCTCATCCTTGTCTTAATTACTTGTTCTCTTAATCTCAATCTCTTCTACTTTATCTTGGATGAGCATTTATCTTGAGAACCATTCAGCTACCAATCTTAGTTGTTAGTTTGGTATAATGTCTTCAGCGTAGACATTGACTGACTTGCAATAGGGACACTGGAATTATCTTTCAATCAATTTTTGTTGCAGGCATTTTTGACATCCTGAGAAAGCGCAGCATTTGGTCAGGGAAGCCCTTTTGATCAGATCCTTACAGATTTGGCAAACAAGAGACGGAGGGATTTATTCTCTCCAATTAGACTTCAAACTACTACCGATATTCTAGCCCTAAACAGTAGTAACATTGAAGACATCACTTGGATTTGACTGCTATTATTTAAACTTTTTTATGTCAAATTAACCGCCATAAATACGACTCTCTTTAATGATCTCCCTGAAAACCTTATGCTTATTGTCTAAGAATTCTTGATTATTTATGCCAAGATCTCTCTTCCAGGCTTAGTCTTTAGGTTAGCCTTTACCTTTATAGGGATCATAAGTTGGATCGGAATTGGTTGGACACTCTTTGATATGATGACCTGGTTATTGACATCTCTGACATCTGTAATTTTTGTGGATCTCAAACTTCTATGTTCTAAATGACTCGAACATTGGGTTATTAAGAACTTGGTTATTCGCCTAATTGAAATTGTTGTAATTTCTCTATGGGTTTGAATGTGATACGCCTTCATTCTAAGCCACAGCCATTTAATTTCTGTGCTTTACATGAAGCTCTGTCTTCTTCTTATTCTCGTTCATGATGTTCAAAAAGTTGTTTTAATCCTATGGCTTTGCTTCCTGCTGAGCTTAATCTTATGTCTAAGCAATCTGTTGATTCAGTCCAACTAATAGTGGATTGCCTTGTAGCTTTGAGGCAGCAGCTTCAAGAGCTTACTACTATTGAGCTTATCTTTGATGCTAGAGCATTTACTCGGGTGTTAATACCTCATACTCCAGGAATGAATCTTTAGGTATCAAATCATTATCATTGAACAACTAAGAGGTCTTGTTATCAAAGATTTAGACTTTCAAATTATCATCAATGTTCTCCTCTATTTTAATGTAATAGGCAATCTTGAAAGCTGGCTCGCTTTCTCCTTCAATAGGAAGCCGCTTCTGATTAATAACACTCTCGTTCTTTTTGCGATAAAATACTTTCATTTTTAAAATTATTATAATTATAAATTTTTAGAATTCTGAATTTTACCTATTATAAATACCTCACGGGGTTTTGGGGTTTTGGGG